AGACGTTTATAGCATTCACTTAAGCCATTGGGACAGACGTTTGCATCACAAATACCAGAGCCTTCACCAAAGACATTGAGCTCTGAATATTGATTTATTTACTCAATTAATTCGCATAACATTATTAGATAATCGCTTTTAGTTAATCACAACATTTAACAAAATTTTAATGTATACGAGATTTTCGTATTAATTTCAATAATTATCTTAATTTCTCGATTAAAGTAAATCCCAATAAATAAAATGTAATCAATGGCTGAATGCATTAAATTATTTATAGACAAGTCACAAGAAATGATCAAACATCAAGGTTATTATCATGTATGTTTTCAAACCATACCCAAAAGTGTATATAAAGACTTTGTGGTAATACTAAAATCATTGCAAGTGATTTATTTGTTGGTTTGCAAAATTATCCAGATAACTCCTAAACTAAAATGAAACTTCTGGTTTGTATTATATTTTATGTTTCAATTTATTAAAATAAATGTATTTTTCTTTAGATTTTCACATTCATAGCACTGATAGCCGCTGTTTATGCCATTGAAGACTATACCATACAATCCCCTCATGGATCCACTCGTGTATATCAGGAGCGTGTGGTCAGCCCTCTCTGGAACCAATGGAATGCAAACGCCAGGGCACTGACGGGTTGGTCACATTTGCCCGCTTATGGTGGTTATGGATATGGAAATGGATTAGGATATGGAAATGGATTAGGATATGGTCGACAATATGATGCATACGGTCCAGGACTTCAATACCCAGGATTAGACCAATGGGGCTGGACGTATCAGATATAAGTTACAAATACAAGTATACACTAATATAATAGAAATCTCACAAAAATATTTTTTAATAAAATAACAAAACATCTAAAAAATAATACATTTCATAAAAAAGTCTTTCTTAAGCTTATACGGTATCTAATTTTACATATTTTGCATAACAAATGCATTGTAAGCAATGTTATTAAAAAAGTTTTGACAATAAAACTTCTTATTATGTAAATTAATATACATAGTGTTACGGTATACAGAGCAGCAAAATAAAAAAATATATAAAATTGCTTTTTATTAGTGAAACAAAAGTGAATTTCATATGATTTGGAGCCATAAGAGAGCGAAAAGAAAATTGAGTTCAAATATATTCCGACAGGAATTAGTTGCGAACTCAACTCAAACCCATTTTCTATTATATGAATTGAGTAGTGAATCAATTACTTGTGAGCAATGGATGTGAGATAATTCTGGCGCTCAATAACATAATCTAAGCGTACAATACATTGGATTCATTGGCACACGCCTTGTGTAAGACAATTCATCTCATGTATTGAGTGCACAAAAAAGTGTAATTTGTTTTCAAGTATGTAATGAAGTACATGTATGTAAACAATCATCATACAAATAATTCCCTTGCTTTAATTAATTATTCAAATTGTTTGCAGTTTTTATGTTTTCTCATTCATAATATAGTTTTGAGAGATCTATCAATAGATTGTAAATAGAGTTTTGAGATATTTGCCGAACATTTGATATTAAACTATATTTTAGTTGAGTTTCTTTATTGCTCTACAAATAAAACACTCAAATGCTTCATAACTTAAAATATAATACAAGTTATATAAGAGTCAGATCTTTATCTTTTTAAACCTAGTATACAGTATTGTACTTTTGTTGAGAGAGAGAGAGAGAGGCTGTCTAAAGCGTATGGCAACGAGTATGGACTCAAGAGTCAATTAATGGGATAATCATCCAAATGCAGTGATTTCTGTGAC